CCCCAAAACCCCAAAACCCCAAAACCCCAAAACCCCAAAACCCCAGCTTTCACAAATTCAAATAAAAATGGATCTTGAAGAGAACAACCATGACGTGTCTGGGGAAGGCTATGATATGCACCCAGAGACTGAAGTTTCAACAACTTACAGTAAGACTTTACTTCATCACTTGCTTTGTTACCTTTAAACCGAAGCATTTGAGATATTCTGGATAAAAATCTTGAGGCAAAATTTTTGTTAATGACGCTGGATTCTAACATCTCAGCCATGTATCCATACATGTGGATGGCTCTTTGAATAAGGATGTTGCTTTTCGAAGCTACTAATTTTAAAGCTTTGGCATTTTTGCAACATTCTTGAGGCTAATTTAGCAGATATGAGCTTAATTTATGGGGGTTCACCTAGGTCGTGCCTTGCCTTCGAATCTAGAATTTTCATTTTTGTTATTAACTAAAGCTAATGGAGATTATAGCCCAAGTGAAAATAAAGAATACAACAACTGAAGATGAAGACTATATTTCGCTGTTTGAAGCAACTAAGACGTTGGCTAAAGCTTCTGTGACTTGTGCTGGAGGACTTCTCTGTAGAAGGACAACAGAGATCTTTAATTATATGATGCTCGGAAGGCTCGGCGATCCAGAATTAGTATCAGGAGCAGGACTTGGAAACAGCACTATCAGTATTACATTGATAGCTGTTGGACTAGGAATGACGGGAGCTATTGAGACTCTAGCATCCAGAGCCTTTGGAAGGGGAAAGAACTATCTTGCTGGATGATATTATACTCGTGCTCAAGTGATACTCACTTTGATTCTAGTACCTATTTGTCTCTTGCTGTGGTATCTGACTCCTGTTCTGATATTCTTAGGCCAGGAAGTGCAAGTATCTATTTACGCAGGAAATTACGCTAGAGCGATGATTCCTGGGACATTTATGTTTGTCCAGACAGAAGCCTTAAGGAAGTTCCTCGTGGCTCAGGGGCAATACTCCTTTATGCCAAAGATTCAACTTGTAACTGCGATGCTGCACCCTCTGTGGTTATATATTAATGTCTTCTGTCTCGATTTATCAATAGAAGGAGTGGCTTACTCTACTGTGATCACCCACTCACTTAACTTTCTGGTTGCCTATATTTGGATCACCATAGATAGATCGATAGTAAAGGAAGGGAGCTGGAACTTTATCAACAAGGACACATTCACCGACTATTTTGAATTTTTAAGATACGGAGTTCCTAACTTCTTAACTTTAGGATTGGAGGTCTGGTCTTTCCAATTTATTCACTTCTGAGCAGGATTTTTAGGAGCCACTCAACTGGGAGCGAGTGTTATACTGATCAACTTGCAGACTTTCCTGTTCATGGCCTCTCTGGGAACCTCCCTAGTGGCTTCAAGCCTTATTGGAAATAATTTAGGAGCTTCAAAGCCGAAGACGGCTTATGTATACATCAAGGCGATAATTACAACGGTGGCTGCTATTACTTTGACCTTTACACTGGGTTTAATGGTGTTTAGACATCAGATCGCAGCTGCCTTTACCACAAGTGAGAGCATTCACCAAGAAATTGTGACCGGTATTTTTGTTACATCTTTGATTACCTTCCCTGATGGGCTTCACTGTGCTCTCTTTGGTGTCATGAAAGCAATGGGGTATCAAGATTACTGAACTCCTATCTCATTTGTCTGATATTGGATGATTGCTGTCCCCGTTGGGTACTACTTTGGAGACAGTTCAAGGTATGGGCTAAAAGGTTTATGGATTGGATATCCAATTAGCTTGACACTCTTATGAATTATGTCCTTATATCTGATCCTTAGAACTGATTTTAAGAAACTCTCTCAAAAAGTGATAGAAAAACTTGAGAAACAGAAACTCGAACGCGAAAACAGCTAATTTAATTTCACTCTTTCCACGACGGATAAACACTCTGGGGTTTTGGGGTTTTGGGGTTTTGGGGTTTTGGGGTTTTGGGGTT